TCTCGTACTGGTTTCTTTTCTTTTTTTTTACATCTGCGCATGTATTTTTTATGTTTTTATCAACACTGGAAAACACAGCCCTTTTTTTTTCTTGACAGTATACGGAACGAGCGCARCGAGGTCCGTAGATGAAAGACCGAGGTTTTTTTTTTCCTATACGGACCGACCTATAGCCGGTAAATAACATTTTTATATTTTTTTTCTTTTTTTTTTTATGCAACTTTGCTCGCAGCCTAGCTGCAGGGTATACCGTCGGACCAGGCATTTTTTTTTAAACCGGACCACGCGCTAGCCAATCACAGCGCGCGAATAACTAGGATACCGGACAGAAAAAAAAGTCAGATTCCCCGGCGATCAAGTTGTGCCTTAACCACATTATCAATGGATTTTTTTTTTGACACACTATTATTATACTGGTAGAATCAATAAATCAACTGTTTTCTCTTATTTTTTTTTATTCATTCTACTAGATGACGTTCAACTATTGCTAGTAAAAAAAGACTGTTTTTTTTTTTTTTGAAACATGCACGCTTTCAGTATTTGACTTGGGCTATGATCATTCAATCGAATTTTTTTTTGATCGAAACGACCGGATACCCTAGCAGTTTTTGGTACTTCACTTGTTGATCATTTTTTTTTCCATTTGCATCCRAATGTAGCTTTATGATCATTTGATTTCTAGAAGACCAAGCCGACAGTTGCTGTAGTGCAGTGGAGATTGCAGTAGGTGCTTCATCGGCAGTTGTGGAATATTTTTTTTTGGGGTATCCGGTCGTTTCGATCCATAGATAATGAACTAAGTTTTGATTATCATTTTTTTTTTTTAGTTGTGAAACTAGGTCAGCACTTCTAAGGTTTATTTCGCAAAATTAAGTTTTTTTTTCCTCTTGAACAGCGAATTAATTACTACAATGCAATGTTTAAGCAAGTAATGCTTTTTTTTTCTTGGCTGCCTTTACAGAGCAGAGCTAGGGACAACCCTTTATGTGTCAAAAGCAACACAAGCTAGCATTGAAAAATACGTCTGTAATCTTTATCTCCCGAAAACACAATTTATCAAAACAACTAGACGTTCAACAAATCCTTGCTAATGCCAGAAAGCTGGATTGGTTTGCACGGACGTGTCTAAATGCTCCGAATCCGATGCGATGCTTGAGACAATATTGCTGATAGCCTTGATTTTTTTTTTGCAGATGACGATGTACTCACCTACTTTATTGATATTTTGAACATTGACCTTAAACAGTTTTTTTTAACAAATTCAGGACTTTACGGCACATGTACATATAGGATTGTTTAAGATGAATAGATAGGTGGGTGTTTCTTCATCAAAGTTCCACGGGGCTAAATTTTCACGACACTTTTTTTTTTACTACACTTACCATCATGTACCATGGGYTCCAGAGGCTGGATTTGCATGTATTTTTTTTTTAAAAGTTTGAATGATGTTTTGGTATGTTATTTATAACAAAACACTCTTACAAAAACCATGGAAGGTTTACTATACCAAGGCTGGTCTAATTGAGACCTCACGAACGTGCCATGTTTAAAAATCGTGATTTGATTTTCCTCTGCGTTTTTGTAATTTCAACTAATTTTATTTAACTTTTTTTTTCGTTCAATCTCTTAGAGGCTAAAAATCAGTCAGCCACGCCCTTTTTTCGAGATTTTTTTTTGATCTTTAAGGGGTCTTTTTGGGAAAATTTTGACGAGCATCCCCTGTATTTTTACCCCGGAGTCCCTCCACGCTTATGAATAGTAATCAAACGCGAAATTGGTAATATAGAAATTTTTTTTTATTATGCAAACCCACTTCTTGACTTATCTTAGCAATAACAATCACCGATTCATTTTTTTTTTCAGCAAAACACTGTATACACTGGACGTTTGGCGATTTCTCCGTGGTTTATTTTTTTTTTTTCTTGTCTCGTAGGCCCGCTGGGTAATGAACCAATCGGTGACATATCCAATCTTTTTTTTTTGTACTGTACACAAACCCATGTTTTAAAGACGACAAAGACCATGTGTCACTATTTTTTTTTTTGACCGGAAGCAAATTTGTATTAGTTTAGAGCGGAAGTGAATTGTGAGCGGTTTTTTTTTCACCGTGTAATGTGATAGGGGGTGTGTGGGTGAGTGAGACACGAGACAAGAATTTTTTTTTTCAACAAAGGAACGAGTGATTTCAGTGAATAAAAGGTGAAGTGAAACAAATCTTTTTTTTTCTATTCTGTGGCGAAATCAACTTTCGTACAGTATATTTTAGATTTTGTCTTAAACTACTTTAAAATAATATGGAACGCCAAAGTTGAGTACAGAAGAGAGTGGAAACTCTCACTTTTTTTTTCTTCACTTCACTATTAATCACTATAATTATAAAGAAAGTGCTAATAGAAAGCTTTTTTTTTAATTRAAAAAATTTGTACAAATCCTGATCAAATCARGATAGACTTGTCTCTTTTTTTTTTTCGAAAATTAAGCCAACAATCAGCCGCCGGTGATATTATTCCAYATGTCAGAATTTTTTTTTATGCCAAAAGTTGTGTCTACAAATGTARGAAAAGTCAACATTTTTGCTTCTAAAACCTCTGTGTTAGTAAATATTACCCAAAACTGATTTTAAAGCTTCCTTTCAGGAATGATTTTAACTGAGTGTTTATTGAGCTCGATAACTACTGCAAAAATTACTCTCAAATTTTCCTTTGATTATTTCAAGGTAAGTCTTTGAATTTGTAGTTGAACAGCTGAACAGTTTTACTTATGATTTTTTTTTTTTCGCTTAWCTGTYACCAAAAATGATTCTCATCAAGCACTGCTGCCTTTTTATCTTGCCATTTTGCTACCTTGAACTCTGATTCATAGTAATAAGTTTTGATATAAAATTGAATTTTTTTTTATCGAAGYATTTCCGAAGTTTTAACACCTCATATATGATCTTTGTCACGACAACCTGACCATTCACTCCGTTACTAGATTGCTCTTGCAAGTGTTAWCGGGCGTTAAAAGATTTTTTTTTTTTTKGTTRCGTTTGTTTTTGGCTCTGCGTGCAAGATACAAAGTAAATATTGGATTTTTTTTTCTTACGACATGATAACAATTGGGAAATGTAAATATATACTTTAAATGAAAAGTTTTTTTTTAGATTTTTCTTCAATCATCTGTACTGACGGTTTAACTCGGCATTCAGGTTGTTTTTTTTTTGAGGGAGAGTAAGAAATAGGAGGTAAGAAGAAATAAGATAGAGAAAGAGGTTTTTTTTTTTTCTTWACGTGGCACGRGGTGATAMAAATTGTCACAGTATTATCGTGTAGAATTTTTTTTTTTCAATGCAAGCAAGTACTCAGCTGTTTTCTCGCCCATGGATAGGCTGAAAACTTTTTTTTTTCATATATCTATTGATTATTCGTGCTTTAAGCAATCTTGCTTCAAAAGTGTTTTTTTTTTTTTTTTTATCAATTTTCGCTTTGTTATAGCGGTTGACTAGATAAAGT